GAGGGGGAGGAGGGGGGAGGGAGGGGAGGGATTTTTGCGAGCTGTTCTTTCTCAGGAGAAGGCGAAAGGGAGAGCAACGTCTTTGCCATTTTACGCGTTTCTTAAAATGTTCGTTTTGTCATCAGATCCACAACAACAACTGCTAATTGTTGAACCATGTTGTTTCGTAGACACTGACACAGACAGACATCCCCTCCCTCTTGACACACACACAACCCCCCCCCCACACACACACACATACACACACATACACACACAAACATCCCCCCCCCCATACATACACACACAGACACACACACACACACACACAAGAAGAAAAAATAAGTATGAAAGAAAAGAAAGAAAGAAAAGAAAAAATGTAAGAAAGAAAAAAAGAATAAGAGAAAAAGAAAAAAGCAAGAAAGAAAGAAAAAAAAAAGAAAGGAAAGGGAAAAGAAACCAAGAAAAATAAGTACGCCTGAAAAAAAAAAAAAAAACAAGAATGAAAAGACTAAAAGGAATGAAATAAAACAAAAAAAAGAAAAAAAAACAAGAATCAAACAAACGACGACGCAAGACAAAAAAAAAAACGAACAAACAAGAAAGAAAAAATAAAAGAGCAAAGAAAGAAAATACAGAAAAACGAAGCATCCCGGACTACCCCCCCCCACCCCCACCCCACCCCACCCCACCCCCACGTCAGGAGTCAGAGCGTGGGAAAATCTTAGGTTGTCTTGCCTACTGTCGTTCCTCCTAAGGTTGCTAAAGGTCAACGGTTCTGATAATAGGGAGAGAGAGGGAAGGAGGAAGAGGGAGAGGAGGGAGGGAGAGTGGAGGGGGAGAGGGAGAGGGGGAGGGGGAAAGATGGGAGAGGGGGAGGTAAGTAGGGAGGGAGGAAGGAAAGATGGGGAGGGGGAGGGAGAGGGGGGGAGAGGGGATAGGAGAGGGAAAGATGGGGAGAGGGGGGAGGTAAGGAGGGAGGGAGAGGGGGAGGGGGGAGGGGAGAGAGAGAGAGAGGAGAGAGAGAGAGAGAGAGAGAGAGAGAGAGAGGAGAGAGAGAGAAGAGAGAGAGAGAGAGAGAGAGAGAGAGAGAGAGAGAGAGAAAGAGGAGAGAGAGAGAGAGAGAGAGAGAGAGAGAAGAGAGAGAGAGAGAGAGAGAGAGAGAGAGAGAGAGAGAGAGAGAGAGAGAGAGAGAGAGAGATAGAGAAGATAGATAGATAGATAGAGAGAGAGAGAGAGAGAGAGAGAGAGAGAGAGAGAGAGAGAGAGAGAGAGAGAGAGAGAGAGAAGAGAGAGAGAGAGAGAGAGAGAGAGAGAATAGAGGAGAAGATAGAGAGAGACAGAGAGAAGAAACGAGAAGAGAGATAGACACAGAAATTGTTATACTCGTTTAGCGTCAGTATTGCCAGGTTATATATCAAGAAGGTAGTTTTTTATCTATCATTTGTAATGATTATGTCAGAGAATTATTTAGTTGACTTATCTATCGACTCAATGCATTCTAGTATAATATAGGCCTATAATTTTACGAGAATTTGTGTGGATTTTATTCTTGCTAGTTTCATATCAAATTTGCATTTCTTCACTATGTCCGCGTTGCGATATGTGTTTGCTATCATATTAGTTACATCAGGTGTAAAAACAAACCAAAAACTTTGCTTAGATATTAATTTTTTGACGAGATAATACCTGGTTTGTGGTAGTTCTCGTGGTCCATCAGTCGCTCAACCGTGTTACTCGGCTTCTGGCGCTAGATTTCCAGGGGAAGCTAATATTGGTATTAGTTTTCACAGCCCCTATCTCAAGACGTGTTTACTTCTTATTTTGTATCTCTTTCTTCAGTTTTAGCAGACCCTATCTCAATTTTTTTACGCCCTAATTTCGTATTTACTTTGCATATCGTTCCAAAGTATTCTTGTATCTACTATCTTAACCAACATTTTTTTTCTTTTCATGTGTCCTTAGGAGCAGCCGGTAGCCCGGTTTGGAACTGTCGCCTTCGCTCCTCATAAAGGGGGCAGTTCTCGTGGGTCATCGGTCGGGGAAACCGCGTTACTCGGTTTAAAGTCATCGGAGACCAAGGGGAACCAAATGCATAAGATATCAACAGCTTCGATTTGAAAGCAAAGTCGATTCCTAGGAGAACCATATGGAATAAAAACAATAAATAGAATAATAAAAAATAGGCTTAGATAAAGTTCCAACTCATCACTATAAAATAAAAAAAATGGCTTTGATAAGAATTCAAAAACTGAAAATTTGGATTAGATACGAAATAAGAAACTAAAAAAAAAAAAAAAAAAAAAAAAATCGAGCTCAGAAAAACATGATAAGATTTACATAAATAAATTAAAATGTCGTGGGATGATTCACTTTCGCATGCATAGAGAAACAGGAGGAGGGGAAGGACGGAGGGAGGGAGAAGAGGGAGAGGGGAATAAGGGTGATTTTTGCACTTGTTTTCCCTTCGTGTCTGTTTCTTGTTTGTGTCTCAATTTCTCTCTCTCTCCCTCCCTCTTTCTCTCTGCATGTGTTGTCTGCGTGTCTTTCTCTCTCCTTTCCCCTCTCCCCCCCTCTCTCCCTCTCTCCTCCACTCCCCTCTCTTACTCTCTTACTCTCTACCTTTCTCTCTCTCTCTCCATTATCTCATCCTCTCTCTCTCTCTCCCTCCTCCACTCCCCTCTCTTACTCTCTTACTCTCTCAATCCATTATCTCATCCTCTCTCTCTCTCTCCTCCACTCCCCTCTCTTACTCTTTCTCTCTCTCTCTCTCTCACTATTCTCATCCCCCCCTTTCTCTCTCTCTCTCTCCATTATCTCATCCTCTCTCTCTCCTCCACCCCCTCTCTCCCCTCTCTTACTCTCTCTCTCTCTCCATTATCTCATCCTCTCTCTCTCCTCCATCCCCCTCTCTTACTCTCTCTCTCCCCCCCTCTCTCCTACCTCCCCCTCTCTGTCTCCTCTCTCTCACTCGCCCCCTTTCTCTCCCACTCCCCCTTTCTTCCTCTCTCTCTCCCTCCCAACCCCCTTGGCGTCTAACACCGAGTTTGCAATCACGATGTAAAGTTTGCAAGCTTCGGAAAGTTCTATGGCGTTGCTTTGGGGTCATCGGGTGCAGAGTTGCAGCAGCTGGGAGAGAAAGCAGAGGTTGTCTTGCATTCACACCAGTTTCTCCCGTTTGTCTGGTGTATGAGGATAAGAGAAGAGAGATGGGGAGGAAGGATGAGAGAGAGAGAGGGAGAGAGTGATGGGGAGATAGGGGTGAGGGAGGGAGGGAGAAAGGGGGTGAGGGAGGGGAGGGGGGAGACAGAGGGTGAGGGAGGGAGGGAGAAACAGAGAGGTGAGGGGGGATGGGGAAGGAGGGAGGGAGGGAGAGAAATAGATAGAGAGAGAGAGAAATAGTGATGAGGGGAGGCAGGGTGACGGTTGGAGGGGAGGGAGGAGAAGAGGGAGGGAGGGAGGGAGAGAAATATATATAGAGAGAAATAGTGATGAGGGGAAGCAAGGTGAGGAGGGAGGGAGGAGAAAGAGGAGGGAGGAGGGAGGGAGAGAAATAGTGATGAGGGGAGGCAGGGTGACGGAGGGAGGGAGGGGGAAAGAGGGAGGGAGGGAGAGAGGGAAAGAGGGAGAGAAACAGAGAGAGAGATTATATATATTATATACATATATATATATATATATATATATATATATATATATATATATATATATATATATATATGTGTGTGTGTGTGTGTGTTTGTGTGTGTGTGTGTGTGTGTGTGTGTGTGTGTGTGTGTGTGTGTGTGTGTGTGTGTGTGTGTGTGTGTGTGTGTGTGTGTGTGTGCATTTATATATATATAATATATATATATATATATATATATTATATAGAGAAGAGAGAGAGAGAGAGAGAGAGAGAGAGAGAGAGAGAGAGAGAGAGAGAGAGAGAGAGAGAGAGAGAGACAGACAGAGACAAAAAAGACAAAGACAGAGCGACTGAGACCTAAACAAACAGACAAAAATACCAAACAGCGAAAGAGAATGAGAGAGGAAAAGCGATAATTGCGAAACAGCAGAAATTCTGCGATTTTCACCCGACAGAGATCACACAACGAAGCAACTTTCCTCCTAACCTTGAACAAATACACGAAATAAAGAGGAAATTCAGAGTTATTTATAGTAATTTAAAGTAATTTCCCTCATTTCATTAACTATAAAGTTAAGTTTCAGAGTTTTTTTCTCCTTTGTTGTAAATCGAAGAGAGGAAAAAAATTATTATCCGTTGTTTCTTTGTTAAATGTTTAGAGAAAATGTTCGAAAACTACAAAGAGAAATAAAAATAATATCCGTTAAGTTTCTTTGTTAAATGTTTAGAGAAAACGATCGAAAACTACTAAAAAAAATGTTTAAAAGGTAGTTTGATTGTTAGAGATTTTTATCGAGGTCATTGACCCTCTTGTTAAGGAAATCTCGAGAAAATTGTGAGTGATTTTGAGTTATCCTTATCACTATCTTTATCAAATAGTTTTTTTTTTATGAATCTGGACTATAATACAATTCATCCTGATAAATGTTTCATGTAAATTTTAAAATCATTGAAATATATAAAATTTTTGTCTTTTTCCCTGTTAAAAAAAATCTGTTATTCACCATCTTATTCGATAATTCCTCTTTATTCAACCCCGCGGAGGAAGCAGCAAATAAACCCAAGTAATTAAGAAACAGAACAAAATCGCAGGAAAAGCAGACGAAAAGTGAAAAATTCCCACGGTTAAACAGCCACTTCGCCATTGACTCTGAACCGCTTGCTACTAAGCAACAACCTCGACCAATGGGAAGCCGCGTAACAAACCTCCCGAGGAAATCCCATCTCCCTCCGCCAATCACGACTCACCTAACATCCCCACCCGACCAATCAGAACCCACGCCCCATCGACCAATCAGAAGCGACCCCTCGACTCCTCTCGACCAATCGGATCTCTCGATTTCGATGCAACGACGCCAATTTTTTTTTAATTCCTGTCAGTTTTTTTCAGGGGATCGTCGTGCACCTATGTGTTTTTTTTCCTCTCTCTCTCCCTCTTCTCTTTTAACGCCCTCTCTCTCTCTTTATGTTCGTGTGATACGCTCTGTCGCGGCGCCGTGATGAGATCGGGATATTGCAAAGAAGAAGAGTGGACAATACTGGATAAACTGTGGACTTAGAAGAGAATTCGTGATGATTTTAGCGGAAGAGGAAGAGAAAATCCCAGATGCTTGGACCCAGTCGGCGCTGGTGAGTAATTCCTCTTATTCGCTTTTAAGGGGATTTATTGGGCTTTTATTTCCTTATTTGTTGCAAAGGGACGAAATCTGGGGATTATATTTAGGTATTTATTTATTTATTATCTATTTATTTATCTATTTATTTATTATTTTTTGACTTTCGTGATTCTGGGGACTTTTAAAAGAAAAGTTAGATAAATTTCACTAAAATGGGAACAAATTGGTAAATTAACGGCATAAGACAAATTAAAATATGCAATAAGATTGGAAATAGAAAAAAAACATGAATAAGGTCTTTTAAAGCATCTTTTCGTTTATTTTGAATTTTCTCCATTTATTTCTAGCCTTCTTGTTTATCACTTATTGTTCTTTACTTAAAATATAACGAACGTACGATTTAAAAGCAAAATATTCGAACGCTGAAAAACCGTTAAAATTCCGCTGTTTTATTTCGTTTATTATTAACTTAAGAAAAACTTATTATGATGATTAACAACATTTTATAAACAAACAAACGAACATTTTGATCTTTAAATCATATACAAAACAAAAAACAAAACCATCTTTGATAACTTGCATAAAAAAACAACTTAACAGCTTGTTACTATAATTCTTGTATTTATTTCTTAAATCTTCTTATCATTTTTAAAAAGGTTGATCGAATTGAATTGAAATTAACGTTTTAGAACATTAATTAATGAGAAGACTGCCATTGGTCATTTATAAGATGTAATTGAAGGTGAAAGGAATAGGTTAAACTGCCTGTTTTAGTCGTTGGGTGAAGTATTTTGAGTTTTGTTGTTGTTGTTTTGAGTTGTTAGTGTGTGTTGGTGTGTGCTTGTTGTTTGTTAGTGTTGTTGCTGTTGTTTGTGTTGTTGCATGTTATTGTGTTAGTGGTGCTGTTGCTGTTAGTGTTGTTGTTGCTGTTGTTAGTTGTTGCTGTTAATGCTGTTGCTGTTGTTAGTGGTGGTGTGTTGTTGTGTTGATAGTGTTGTTGTTAGAATAGTGTTGTTGTTTGGTGTTGCTGTTGATAGTGTTGTTATGTTGTTAGTGCTGCTGCTGTTGTTAGTGTTGTTGCTGTTGTTAGTGTTGTTAGTGGTGGTGGTGTTGCTGTTTGATTGTGTTTATGTTGTTAGTGGTGTTGCTGTTGTAGTGTTGTTGTTTTAGTGTTGTTGCTGTTGTTGTGCTGTTGTTACTTTGTTGCTGTTGTTAGTGTTGTTGCTAGTGTTTGTTGTTTAGTTGTTGTGTGTTGTTAGTGTTTGGTTTGTGGTGGTGTTGCTGTTGATAGTGTTGTTTATGTTGTTTTGCTTGTTGCTGTTGTTATTGTTGTGGTGGTGTTGCTGTTGCTGTTTTAGTTGTTGTGTTTGTGTTATGCTTGTTAGTTGTTGTTGCTGTTGTTAGTGTTGTTGCTGTTGTTAGTGTTGTTGCTGTTGTTAGTGTTGTTGCTGTTGTTAGTGTTGTTGGTGTGGTGTTGCTGTTGTTAGTGTTGTTTATGTTGTTTAGTTGTGTTGTTGCTGTTGTTAGTGTTGTTGTTGTTGTTAGTGTTGTTGCTGTTGTTAGTGTTGTTGCTGTTGTTAGTGTTGTTGTGTTGTGTTGTTGTTGTTGTTATGGTGGTGGTTTGTTGTTGTTTAGTGGTGGTGTTGTTGCTGTGTTAGTATTGCTGTTGTTGTTAGTGGTGGTGGTGGTGTTGTTATGTTGTTGATGTTAGTGGTGGTGGTGGTGGTGTTGCTGCTTTTGTTAGTGTTATTGTTGCTTTGTTAGTGTTGTTGCTGTTGTATGTGTTGCTGTTGTTATTAGTGTGGTGTTGCTGTTTACTGTGTTAGTGTGTGGTGTGCTGTTGCTGTTGTTGTTAGTGGTGGTGGTGGTGTTGCTGTGATAGTGTTGTTGTTTATGTTTAGTGTTGTGTGTTGTTGCTGTTGTTAGTGGTGGCGAGTGTTGTTGGTGTTGGTTGTTGTTGTTAGTGGTGGTGTTGCTGTTACTGTTGTTAGTGGTGTGTGTTTGCTGTTGTGTTAGTGGTGGTGGTGTGGTGTTGTTGTTAGTGGTGGGTGGTGCTGTTGCTGTTGTTAGTGTGGTGGTGTTGTTACTGTTGTTAGTGGTGGTGGTTGTTGTGTTTGCTGTTTTGTTACTGTTTGCTGTTGTTAGTGGTGTGTTGCTGCTGTGTTGTTAGTGTTGCTGTTGTTGTGTTAGTGGTGGTGGTTGTTTGTTGCTGTTGTTGTTAGTGGTGGTGGTGTTGTTGCTGTGTTGTTAGTGGTGGCGGTGTTGTTGTGTTGTTGTAGTGGTGGTGGTTGGTCGTGTTGTTGCTGTTGTTGTTAGTGTTGTTGATGTTAGTGGTGGTGGTGGTGTTGTTGCTGCTGTTGTTTGTTGTTATTGTTGCTGTTAGTGGTGGCGGGGTGGTGGTTGCGGTGTTGCTGTTGTACTGTTGCTGTTGTTGTGGTGGTGTTGCTGTTGCTGTTGTTAGTTGTGCTGTTGCTTTTTTGCTGTTGCTGTTGTTAGTGTTGTTGCTGTTGCTGTTGTTAGTGTTGTTGCTGTTGCTGTTGTTGGTAGTGGTGGTGATGGTGTTGCTGTTGTTGTAGTGGTGTATTGGTGTGTTGCTGCTGTTAGTAGTGGTGTTTGCTGTTGTTTCATGTTTTAATATCGGCAATTGTCAAGTTGGTATTCTATGGATGTAGGGTGGGTAGGGGAGGAGGGAAGGAGAGAGAATGGAGGAAGGGGAAAAGGAAGGAAGGGAGAGGAAGACGAAGGAACGGTGGGGAGGGGGAAGAAAGGGGAAGGGAGTAAGAAGGGGAGAGAGGAGGAAGGAAGAGGAAGGGGAGTGAGAGGGAGGAGGAGGATGAAGGGAGGGGAGAGGAGAAGGAGGATGAGAAAGACAAGGTAAACGTAAAGAGAAGCAAGGAGGGAAGGGGAAGGTATGAATGAAGTAAGGCGATAGAAGAAGGAGAATAGAAAGTAAAAACGGTTAAGAGCGAGAAATAAATAACCACGAAATGATGAAATCTCGTAATAATGAAGGGAGGGAAGAATAAACGATGATAAATGAAGTGGTAAGAAGAAAAGACAAATGAAATTCCTCTCCTCGCCTTTTCCTCATTATGACCAAACGAGAAAAAAGGGAAAATCAGAATAGAATAGAGAGAAAAAAGGGGAAAACATCAGATTCTTAATGCGATTCCGATTGGCAGTCCCTATTTGCATAATCAGGTTGGCGATATTGTTGCATATTTCTGGTAATTTCCTTCGATTTGTTAGAGAAAGAGGTAGGGAGAGAGAGAGAGAGAGAGAGAGAGAGAGAGAGAGAGAGAGAGAGAGGAGAGAGAGAGAGAGAGAGAGAGAGAGAGAGAGAGAGAGAGGATGGAAGGAGAGAAAGGAGAGGGGAGAAGTAAGCGTAGGGAGGGAGCAGGAGGGAGAGGAAAGGGGAAGGAGGAGATGGAAAAGGAAAGAAATGAGAATGCGGATGACATAGGAAGAAGAGAGATGGGGGGGGGGGGGGGGCATGTCGCGAGAGAGAAAAAGATTTACATTTTTCTTTTTACTTTTCCCGTTTCTTATGAGAGGAGGGAAGAAATAAAAGTTATTACACAAATAGGGAAGAGAGAGGGGGGGCAGGAAGAAGGAGGTAAGGAGGAAGAAAGAAAGAAAGGTAGAGATAGGGGTAGAGAAAAAGAGAGGGGAGGGGAGAGGGATAAGAAGGAAGGGAAGATGAGATCAAGATAAAGGAAGAAAGCTATGGAAGGAGGAGGAAGAGAGGAAGAGAATGATAAGGAAGGAGAGAGAGATAGACACAGACAAACACAGACAGCGGAAGCGAATCTTACTCCGAAGTATTATATATAACGCTTTATAATAAGAACCGACATTCCGTCACACCGTCCCCGACGAGCCACAAAACAAACGAAAGGAGATGAAACGATAAGAAGGAATTCGTCCTCAGCGATAATGGTGCCATCGTTGCCATAGCCACCATAGCAGTCGGTGCATTAGTGGTGACGTTTGTGCAGATAGTTTTTTTTTTTTTTTTTTTTTTTTTTAGGTGGAAGAGAGAGGAGGGAGGGGGGGGAGAGAGGAGATGTGGGAGAGAGAGAAGGGAGAGAGGTGAGGGAGGGTGATAGAGGGGGGGGGAGGATAGGGAGATGAAGGAAGAAGAGAGGGGTAAAGGGGGAGGGAGAAGGAGATGAAGCAGGCTAGGGAAAGGGAAGGAGAGGAGACGGAGATGAGGGAGGGGGAGAGAAGAGGCGAGTGAAACGGGTTGGGAAGGGAGGTAAGGGTGGGGAACAGAGGGAATTATGGAGGAGAGAAAAGGTGGGTGAGAAGGATTGAGAGGGGAGAACGAAAGAGAGAGTAGAAGGGAAATTAGGAGGATAGTTGAGGTTGGGAAAGAGGAGAGAGGGACGCAGAAGAGGGGGAGGAGTAGAGAGTGAAGGAGAGTCAGATAAGTGGGAGAGGAGGGAGAGGTGGAGAAGAAAAGAAACAATGGAGGGGGAAAGATAAAGAGTATGAGACAAAGAGAAGGAGGGGAAGAAGACAGAGAAAGAAAGAAGGAAGGAAGGAAAGGAGGAAAGAAAGAAAGAAGAGGAGAAACAGCGAGAGAAGACGAGGAGAAAACAGCGAGAGAAGACGAGGAGAAACAGCGAGAGAAGACGAGGAGAAACAGCGAGAGAAGACGAGGAGAAACAGCGAGAGAAGACGAGGAGAAACAGCGAGAGAAGACGAGGAGAAACAGAGAGAAACGAGAGAAACACCGAGAGAAGACGAGGAGAGAAACACCGAGAGAAGACGAGGAGAAACACCGAGAGAAGACGAGGAGAAACACCGAGAGAAGACGAGGAGAAACACCGAGAGAAGACGAGGAGAAACACCGAGAGAAGACGAAGAGAAAGACGAGGAGAAACAGCGAGAGAAGAAGAGAAAGAAGAGGAGAAACAGCGAGAAGAAGAAGGGAAAGACGAGGAGAAACAGCGAGAGAAGAGAAAGAAGAGGAAAAACAGCGAGAGAAGAAGAGGAAAAACAGCGAGA